ACCGTGGTGTGACGCGCGTAACAAGGCCACACTCAGCTGCACCCTGCACAGCGATTGCCCAGCTAATGGTCTACAATCTGTGCCTGCAGCCTTAATGCGCTTGTTACTGGGTTGGGTTAATTACGCAACTAACCCTCTACTGCCACCACCACTTTTGTCGGAGACTGGGAAACTCCTTATATCAAATATACACTATAATGATTGAAATATTGATCTATATAGCACGGCTCGCGGACCTACTATACAGAGATATAACAAACAGTAGCGTCTCTTCAAAAGGCAGGAATTCGTGAATTGCAAGTAAGCGCCTAGAAACAGTTTAACACTTTCAGAAAGATTTATTACTAAAAGCGTCAGACAGATGCAATAAAATATTTACAAAGAGATGTCACAAAAAAAAAAAAAAAATATATATATATATATATATATATATATATATATATATATATAATATATAAAGACACAGCAAAGAGATAATTAGGAAGAAGATTACAGGCTTAAGTTACTTGCCCATATGTCTGGGTTTGCAAATCCAAGATGCAGAGCAGAAAGGTTCTTTAGATCTGTGTGTTCTACTCCCAGGCTTGTCTCTTCTTTTTTAAAAGTCCCTCTCAAAGAGGAGGGGGGGGGCTCTGACTACACATTTTGGGAGTGGTCATTGGGAAACTAAACTAACTACCAGCTTCATATCCCATGATATGAACCATACAGTTGACCTGAGGAATGTGCAATTCCTCTGGTCAGTTTGATAATGAGTGGGCTTACATAGTTTGGGGTGACAAAAGTTACACCTCAGCAGACAGCCTGGCTCCAATCTCAGATGTCCTAGCCTGGTTGTCCCACACCATCTGTCAGGAGATAAGTTTGCATTTCAGGAAGGGAGGAGGGTAGGAATGAGGCTGAGGAATGCCTCAAATAAACAGACAGAACAAGAAAAAGAGAGTTGAAGGGGAACTCCGCTCCAACAAGGATGAGCAAGTTTGCCACATACACTTTCAAATGTTTATTGGTTATTTTAACAAGGTATTGGTGTAGTTATATTCCATGTATTGTTTGTTTGCATGGGCTCAAATGTTGTTGCTGCAGTTTGTAGTGTCATGGATGATTGATTCCCGTATGTCCATATATACATTCGTCTACCATGTCCCTATGCGCTAAAGGGACAGGCAACTTCTTGTTACAGGTTATGCAGTGTCCAATCCATACCTCACCATTTACTGTGTTGCTTCACAAATATGGGAGTGTAATGTAATGAAAACATACTCTCTTCCAGCTTGGTGATATCCCTGTGAATGCTCTGCCTGTTTGTGGCTGTGTCAGATCTAATTACTGCACCTGCACAAGTGCTAGATTGAGAGACTAGAGATTGTGGAATATGTAAGTTTCACTATAGAAAGTGTTAGTTCATAAACTACAGACAGAGGTCATGCATTAACCTGTGCAGGGCCATGCTGCATGACTCATGTTTGAACACAAGCACTTCTGACATCAGAATGTGAATATTTACTAAACTATAGTCTGTGCGCACAGGCCAACAAATGACACCGTGAAACTACACGATCAGTGCACATCTTCTACAGGTGAAAAACGCAAGAAGCCGGTAGGAAGGTTTATAGTGTCATTAAGTACGGTAGTTTATGTATTCCATTAGACCTGCACCCTACCGCTTGGTCCTTTCAGTTGCTGTGGGCGCTTGTGTGCACAATTTGGAGTATGTAGGCTTCTTTTTTTGCCCAGTGCAGGTGACAGAGGACTTTTGATATTTTACAAAACACATCTTACATGACATTCATATATAGTGATGTAGGTTGTGAGTGGTTATTATGCAGCAGACCTTCTTTTCTATAGTATATAGAATATGAACATAAATGTCCACCACAACTCAAACCCAAGTCCGCATATTTTGTGTTCTGGTGGACTATACAATTTCAGCTTGCACTCAAGAATGCTTAAAGGGTTTTCTTTAATAAAAATGCAGGAATTATGAACATATTCTGAATATGATAAATAAATATGCATAACTGTATGTAATAATGGAGCTGAATAATGGCTTAGTAAATACCTTAATTACCCTTTTATGTTGAGCCATGAAGACTTATGGGGGATTGTGTATGTCTTGTACTTAATTAACCAAGGCCTCACTAATGTTTTGTTTTCAATATGAAATAGACTTTTCTCTGCAGTTTGTCTCCTGCCTTTGCTTTATATCACTCTGTTGAGAAGTTCATATACCTGAATCCAGCATAGTTGTAATATTCATGGTCAGTCCTGAGGGAGGACAGTTCTCTGGTCTATTGTTTCTCTCTGATCTCATAAATTCTCATCTAATCCTCTCATGCGTTGTCCTTGAAGATGATTTGGGAAATCCACAGTTACACTTACTGGTAACTCTTTTTCTGTGAGTCTTCCAGGACAGCAGGTTTCTCCCCTTGTTTAATTATTTTCCTGTTGTATATGTTGTGCTTTAGATAACAGCAGGGGCACCTGTTAATTTTAGAAATAGTTTGTTTTGGGCCAACAAAAGTGACATTAAAGCTGTAGATCAGCTTTAATACTGACAAATTCGGCAGAAGGACTTCCCTACAAAAGTGTATTTGGTGATTACATTGTCTATTCCTGTCTGAGGCGGTGCCTGTCTCTCATGTGCTGTCCTGGAAAACCCATGAAAATAGTAACCCAATAAGTCTAGCTCTGGATTTTAACATCATTGTGTTTTTCCCAGTTGGATTTGATAGTTTTGTGATTTATGTTGTTTGCTTACCTAGTAAAATAATTTAATTGTCTGCAGATGATACAAATACAAATCTATTGTTTGTGGTCAATGGATTTCATTAGATGTAGCTTTGCAAAGAAAAAACATACACAGACTGCCTTGAGAGCTTTAAAAAAAGTTTAAAATTATTGGAACAGTAGCAGTGTAGGGCATACATTGAAGTGTGATCCTCCAGGGCTGCTTGTATTCTAACCAGTGCTGGCTGTATGCTAATCCCACCACCTGGGGTGCGGGATCTAGCTGAGGCTGGTCATCATTCTCTAGTGTATGCCTTCTCTCTAGTGAAAATGCAGGTTGATATCCAGTTATTGACCATTTCTGAGAACACACAAAGCTGATTTGAGTCAGAAGGAGACTTGCATTCTTTTTTGGTTCCGTATGCAATTTCTGGTTGAAAAAACAGATAATAAGTGAGCAGCAATTGTTGGACTTAGAAAACCCAGCATGTCGGACAAAAGAGAATTATGGATGCATTCATTTGTAAAAAAATAACAGTGGGTAATAAAACCTGTGCGTGTCAAATCTGATCAAAAATCAATATATTTTCCCTTGTGATTTTTGGTTTCCCATCTGCTTTTTTACTTATACCTGCTTTTGTTTTGAAAAGTTAAAGATTCAAGTCATAAAAATTATGATCTATAAGGGATTAGATTTAAGAATTGATTTTCCCATTTTTGTTAATCACTTCAGCCCTCACCACACCTGTATTACTTGTGTTGGACTAATGCAGGCCATAGATGGGTCGAAAATCGGCCGATTTTTCTTTTAAAAAAACGAACAATCGGTCGTTCAAGTGGCCGATGTTACCAACAATGGTAAAAAAAATCGGCCGATTTTCATCCCGTCTACAGCCAGCAAAAAGTGTCCCTGCAGAGAGCTCTGCTATTTCTGACAGTTCTCTAACAGTTCCTTGACATTTACAGCGGTTGCAACATTGTATCTATTTGTTTCCATTTAGGATACAGATGTTTTTATTCGGAAACAAATAGATACAATGTTGCAACCGCTGTAAATGTCAAGGAACTGTCAAAGAAATAGCGGAGCTCTCTGCAGAGACACTTTTTGCTGGACTGGAATTCCTCTTATTTTCATTCTTCTTCCTCTTCCTCTTCCTCATCCTCTTCTTCATCCTCTCTTTATCCTCTTCTTCTTCTTCTTCATCCTCATCCTCTTCTTCTTCTTCATCCTCATCCTCTTCTTCTTCTTCATCCTCTTCTTCTTCATCCTCTTCATCCTCATCCTCTTCTTCTTCATCCTCTTCATCCTCTTCTTCTTCTTCTTCATCCTCTTCATCCTCTTCTTCTTCATCCTCTTCATCCTCATCCTCTTCTTCTTCATCATCCTCATCCTCTTCATCCTCATTCTCTTCATCCTCATCCTCTTCTTCTTCTTCATCCTCATCTTCTTCTTCATCCTCTTCATCCTCATCCTCTTCATCCTCATCCTCTTCTTTCTTCATCCTCTTCATCCTCATCCTCTTCTTCTTCTCTTCATCCTCATCCTCTTCATCCTCATCCTCTTCTTCTTCATCCTCTTCTTCTTCATCCTCTTCTTCTTCATCCTCATCCTCTTCATCCTCATCCTCTTCATCCTCATCCTCTTCATCCTCATCCTCTTCTTCTGCATCCTCATCCTCTTCTTCATCCTCTTCTTCTTCTTCTTCATCCTCATCCTCTTCTTCTTCTCCTTCTCTCTTCTTCTCCTTCTCCTTCTCCTTCTTCTCCTTCTCCTTCTCCTCCTCCTTCTTCTTCTCCTCCTCCTTTTCTTCTCCTCCTTCTTTCTTCTCTCCTTCTCCTTCCCTCCTCCCTCTTCTTCTTTTTGTCTTCCTCTTGCAGGTCACTGCTCATGCGCAGATTTTTTATCGGTAAAAAATCGGCCGATTAGCCCATTAATGCCGCGAAAATTGGCCGATCGGCCGATTTTTTTTTCCAACTTTACCAAAAAAAAAAAAAAAAAAAGCCAAAATCCCGAAAAATGGCCAAACAAATAGCCCACTAACGATCCGAAAATCGGCCGATTTTATTTTCGGCCGAAAAATCGGCCGATTTTCGACCCATCTATGGCCTGCATTAGACAAGTTTACATTTTTGCTTCGTGCCTGTTTATCCATCAAAAACTTTTTCATTACTTAAGATAACAAAGTATGTATGTTTATTTTTACATTGGTGCTACTCAGTTATGGTGCTGTATTTATTTATATTCTAAATAATTTGTTTTTGTATTTTAGGTGTGAAACAGCTTTTGAAGCATGGATCAGTACAAAAAGTTTATAATGGACTTCAAGGATATTAACAATGCATAATCTTTATGCAGAACAGTAATTTGACATATTTATTCTGGGTTTCTTTGGATTTTTATATAAATAAATGTTCTGATTTCTTGGTCTTATATTAGTTGGCAGTTTTTCTTTATACATGTGGCAATGTGTGGTGTTTCAGTATTTTGTTTACAATGTTTTAAACTTTATTTTGATTGAAACAATATAACATTTCTATTAATTTCAAACAGGACATTTACAGGTTGTATTATGAAAGATACCTAGTTTTTTTTCTATTTAAATATGTTAAATAAAGTCAGCTGAATGGGTTATATTTTATTTTAAATTAATTTCCCTTTCTTCTTTAAGAGCTACATGTGTGAACATATTCTAAAAACTTGTTTTTGCAGTTGTACAGTACAGGACACAGTCTCCTTACTCATTATGACTGGCTATATGTAGCTACCTTTTTAGGTTATTGGACACTGGAAAACAAAGCTGCTGGGATATCCCCTATAGAGCCCTCCCACTCCCATCTCAGCTTACTGCTAGTGTCCTTAGGCGATTAACCTAAATTTACCATCTTATATGGAGGTTACTCTCTATTTCCTCCTTTTGGATGACTATTTACCGAGATGGTTTTTTTCTGTTGATCGGCTGCACTGCAGCTCTTCATGCAGCCTCCAGATCGGATGACTCCTCGGCAAAGCCTTGGGGGACCATACTCTGACCCTACCTCGTGAAAGATGCAGGGGCGGCTTATAAAGATGCTTTCTGCACTGGATCCTGCTTTAGGAGCTCCCTTTGGCAATGTAAGGATTTAGCCGCAGGGCGGTTTACAAGGCCATGGTCTGCCTGGTGCAAAGTCCTGACCTTGAAGACCCTTACTATATGGGCCCACAGTAGAGGCTGAAGCCAGGATAGGTTAATCTTATGTTTATCCTGTCTACTGGATGTGGTGAACACGGGCAGAAGCATTCAACATTCAGCCCAGGCCTCCTTTTTCTTGGGAGCCACCAACCACTCTTCTGGTGGCCACAGCAACCTCAAAGGTTTCTTATGTAAACTGGCAGATTGGTCGTTGCCTCCCTCTTTCTGGGGATTTTCCGGGCTCAGTAGATCTAGACTGGATTCTCACCTGTATGTTCCCTTCTTTCAGAATTATCAATGTTATTTGTGTTTTGCAATGGGCAATCTACATTTCTAATCGTTCTTCCATTTGTTTTGCCATGTCACATATTTCAGCATTTTGCCATAGATGGGGGATGCTGGGTGTGGTTCTGCTGGGTCTTGAGTCAACATCAAACTGGATAGATTTGTGACTAGGTCCAGGAGAACTTTGCAGTGAATGTGTTGTTGACAGACTGGGATCAGTTCAGCCTGATCTACACAATTCTACCACTTCAGATTCTCCCTTACCTACTACACAGGTTTGAGAAGGAGGCAATCCGGTGATTCTCATTGCACCAAATTGACCCAGGAGGACTTGGGCATACTCAAACTTCTGACAGACCCTCTGTGAACCCTTCCAGTTCATTTAAACCTGTCCCAAGGGCCAGTGTTCCATCTTGCTTCTCGGTTGCTGGCTTTATTGGCTTGGCTGTTGAAGCCACATTCCTGATGGACGGGGGGCCTTTTGGGTTACTATTTTTAAAGGACGAATTCTGTTCCCAAAACCATTGACAACTCCCTCCTGAATTTAGGCCTTTGTTTAGGGTGTAGCTCACATCACCCCCCCCCCCCCCTCCCGCTGCCTCCTCTGTGATCTCCTGTATGCCCTTGGGGCCTCAGTTTGCTTCCCTTGGCTCTTCAGAAGGTGGCCTTCCTTGTTGCTAACACCTCTCTGTGGTAAGAAACTCTGAGTTAGCAGCTTTATCCTATAAAGAGCCTTTGTGTTAGGGATCCGGGTGTGACCAGAAATGTGTGGACTGACACAGGGAAGTAGCAGGCTTCAAGAACACAGGTGTCGTCAGGGCTGGAGAGGTGGAATGGTCAGGCAGGCCATTTGGTACTATTAAGCCGCCTGGCAGAGTCTCTAGCAGCCCACCGCATGGACGCCCTCAGGGCGCGGGGTCTAAGTCCCAGCCTGCTGTTCACCAGGGCCCCTGATGGTGGGGATGGACTTGGTGCAGACTGGAACCAGGTCGCGACCCCCGAGTGCGACCTGCGGTGGTAGAGAGTACTGACGGGAGTGCAGGAACGGAATCTAATTTGGAAGAGGCAGACAGATACACTGGTCTGATCCGAGCCGGATGGATGGATGGAAGGTCGGGTACAGTATGCGTGGTCAGACAGGCCGGGTCGGTATTATGCGGGCAGCGAGGTACAAGAGGAGCGAGCTAAGAATGGTCAGGTCACAAGCCAGGTTCAGCAGGGTGTGAGCAAATACAGTACCAGGGATCAGACGGAAGAGTAGTCAGGCAAGCCAGGGGTTAAACAGGAGAGGAGCAGGATCAGTAACAAGCAGAGGCCGGCAACGGAGTATACAGCAACACAGGAACAGGATACAAGGGCTCATGGGAAACAGTTACACCAAGGCACAGATCACAGGCCTGGTCATTCCTTAAATGCACCTGCTGTAATCAGCCCCAGGTTTTGGCTGACTGCAGAAGTGAGCTTCTGGCTGCTGAGAGCACCCGCTGGTCAGCCCTGGTACTGCAGCCCACACGGCAGGTGAGTCCCACCACCAGTCCTGAGTCCATTCCTGACACTTTGTTAGTATTGCACAAGGACAAGTTTGTCTTACAGCGATTCTAAAGGTTAATTTTGTGTGTTTTTGTTTTTTTTTTTTTTTTTTTAAATAAACATGCTATACGTACCCACTTTGTGCAGTGGTTTTGCACAGAGCAGCCTGGATCTCTTCACGGGTCCCCGCAGGTTCTCCTGGCTCCTCCTTTCTGTTGGGTGCCCCCACAGGAAGCAGCTTGCTATGGGGCACCCACTGCTCTGTGTGTTCATTCACACACAGTGCCACGGCTTGGCCCCGCCCCCTCTCATTGGCTGACTGACTCATTGACAGCAGCGGGTGCCAATGGCTCCTGCTTGCTGTCTCAGCTAATGAGGAAACAGAGACCCGGGACAGCTGAGGCTGTTGTTTACATTGCTGAAACACGATGAGGCTCGGGTAAGTATTGAGAAGGCTGGGGGCACTGCTGCACACAGAAGGTTTATTACCTTCATGCATAGAATGTATGAAGGTAAAAAACCTTGAACCTTTACAACCACTTTAAGAGCTACAGCCTGTTTACTCCTGAAAGTGGCATCTGTTTTCCATCTTAAAGGATAAGATGGAAGATCCACTGCTTTGACAGCTAGCGGGGGATCTTCTTCACTCCACCCTGCTAGCTGTCAATTTTAGAGAAAAAAAAAAAAAATGTGGCCGTGTGGCTCCACCCACCCGATCGCGTCTCTCATTCACAGTCCTCTGTGTATGAGAAGTTACAAGTCCTGACAGCCTTAGCAGCTGTTGGCATGTAGTTCTCAACGAACGCTCCAACGCGCCGTGATAGTTCATTGAATCTTCCGGTCAGTATATCTGCTTGCCTGTACATTCTGTATGGGCAAGCAGATATACTGACAGGTCTGCAGGAGACCTGCATGGCACCAGCAATGTACTGATCGCTGATGCAGTGCTTTACAGGTTCCTGCAGCAAAAAAATAAATGCTAATTTTTTCACCTGCAACAAAATGTGCATTTATTATTTTTTTACCAAAAGGTGAACTTATCCTTTAATCAGAATATTGTCCTTTCTTCTTTATGTCTGTCTGGAGGTGGTTTCTGCTGTGAGAGTTTACCTCTCAGCTACTCCCTTCTTTAGGTTATCAAATTCCTTCTTTGTGCCTCTCAGAGGTTCCCACAATGTTCTCCCTGCCTCTCTCTCCACTATTTGTGGGTGGATCAGACAAGTCAGACTGTAGTCTGAAGGATGGCGTTCCTTCTCTCCCTATTAAGGCACACTCTATCATAGCTAGTACTTCTATGACTTTTCAGCATCTGTTTCCCAGATTTGGAACACTGCCACCTAGGCTTCCATTCAAATGTTTGTTCTACTAGGTGTATGTTGAGGCCTCCTCTGATGCCAGTTTTGGGTGTAGGTTGCTACAAGACGCTCGTGAGTCGGTCAAGCCTTTATGACCCGTTTCTGTTTTTCGTGGCACTGTTGGTGGAATTTGCTATGTTGCTCACTTTCTAGTTTGACTGCTTTTGGATGTCCCAGAGCCTTTTACTGACATTACTGTACTTCAGGAAATTAATGTTACTGTTCAGGACATAGGTCCCTCTCCTCTGTTCTTATGATTTCCCTATTACAGCTGCATATAACCCATACATAATAATTAAAAGTCCTGTACTGTACTAGTGTTTACCAGTAAAATCAATTTTGTTGCTTATAGCAATTGATTTTTTACTGCAAGTCAGAAAAAGGGGAAATTGTGATTGGTTGATACAAGCAATACAGACATACTTTAACAGCTGTAGCTTCTTGATAGGATGTAATTACTGTACCTTCTTAAGGCCCCTTTTCACATGAATGTTCCAATCAGGTCTGCCTGTCTGTTTTTCAGTCAAACCCAATTGGAACCTCTATTCTCCTCTATGGAGCAGCAGATGTAAATGGACAGGTGTCTGTTTTTATACCCACCTACATCCAATCTGCTCAGATCCACTAAAAACAGATGGGTGGGGATCCATTCCCCTTTTGTCCAACTTATCAGATTGCCAGTCAGGTGTAAACATACAGGTGGTCCAATCTACATCCAACCACCCTTAGAGGAGAGTGGGCTGTGTCCATGGCTGCTCTGCATGAGTGGAGTGGACATAGACCTGTCATCTGCCTACTCAGTGGGGATCAACAGGCAGATCCCCTGTTGAGCAGGCGGATTGCTGGCTGAGGCCACCCCATGTGAAAAGGACCTTACTTGCATAGTAGACTACTGATAATGCAACTTATATTTTTAGATTCTGTTGGTCCTAGGGCTTTAGAAGTGATTTAAATCTTACACCTGAGAGATTTACCACTTGTTGGAGGTCACCTCA